CGCAAGGGAGCACGAAGTTTGGCAGCCTGGGTGAGTTAACGGCAGCTGTTTCAGAGGCTTTTCCAAAGTACCTGGAAGGATTATTTGCTACCCAAAGCAAGTGCTGGCTGACTGCTTCCCTGACACAAATAATTTAGGAAATTTGGTGTGTGTTTGAGGGTGGAGAGGTTCTTCATGCAGGAAGAAAAGCTGGATGTGCAGTACCTGGGCTGTCAATCACTTTAATTTCACTCGCAGCCTTTGAGTATTTTCTTGCTAGGAATTTAACTTGATTTTGCTCCCTTGCTAGCGCTGTCAGCGGTTCCTTGGTATCTGCCCTGTCCTTTGCTGCAATGGTACAAGGTAAAAGCTCCTGTGGGCTGGAGCCTGCTGCAGGCTCACGGAGGGATCACAGCTTTGGGGTGGGATGCGTCCAGCAGATCCCTTCCCCTGCGAACAAGCTCACGGTGGAAGCAAAACCAACACACCATCGTGCTGAGCACTACTGTGAACTTTAATGAACGAAGTCGGGGAGTTTCTTCCAGATGAAGGGGTGTTCTGGGGTCCTGACTTCACTTAAACTTCTGCTCCGGACAGGGCGTGGATTGTTCCTTAATCCGCCCGGCTCTTGTAGTGCTCCACGTGCGCCAGGATCCAGGCCGTGGGTGCTAGGAAGCACGTGCACATCACGAGGAACCCGATGGTCTGCTCCTGCCATAGGAGAAGCAGAAGAGTTAGTGGGATGGTGTTTTGGGGGGGCTCGTGCTGGTGCTGCCCCCCTGCAAAGAGTCAAGCTGCTGCTCTTTCCAGCCCTGCAGCCGTTGGATGGACCCGACGTGGGGCTGGGGAAGAAGGAGATGGGGGCGAGCACGGCGCTCTCGCCAACAAGGGGCTGAGCTGGTTGCTCTCTACGGTTGTTTCTGTCGTGATAGTCCCCGGGAAATCTGAACCACGTGTGGCCTTCAGTCAGGCTTGGGCTCTTGGTGCTTCCCAAAGCAGCCAGGCCTGACTTTCAGATGACTTTGAGGTGTGAATTGCAACCAGCAGCAGCCTCTTCTATTTCTGGTGCGCCGGGGCAGCACTTAACCCCTTGTGCTGTCACCTTTGTTTCTTTTTCTTTATTTAGCTAGAAAAAGAGTCTCCAGGGTTGCAAAGCACTTTGCAGACCTTGGAAAAGCAGTAGAGGGGTAAACTCCACAAGCTGGTGCCTCTGCCGCCTCCTCCCTGAGCCCCTGGGGCTGCCCCATGGCTCGGCCTCCCTGGGGGGCACCCTGGGCTGCAGGCTACCCCCAGCAGGTACCTGAACCCCCAAATTTAAAATCAAGGGGCTGAAAGGATAACATAAAATGGCAGCAAGAGCCTGGAGGGGAGAGCAGGGTGTGTGTCCCCACAGAAGTGCCATGTGGAGCTTACACTGCTCCAGGGACACCTTCCCTCCTTTTCTCCCCCCTCCCCTTTTGCTTTCACTCCCAGCAGAAATAATTTGTCTATAATCAGAGGAGGGGGTTGTGCCCCCCTAATTGAGGTGTCCCACACCAGCAGGTTGCTTCCCCCCCTTCCCAGCTCCCCGCAGGC